GATGTTATGCAGCACACGGAGTCTGTGAATCAGGAGTGTTCTGGCTGGCTCTGCCCTGCCTGACTCCCACACACTCCTGCCAGAGGATGGGGATGCGTTCAGCTGCACTTACTCACCTGTGAGGTGGACTTTGCCCACCAGGCCAGCAACTGTATGGGGAGAATCTGCTTCCTTTCTTGGCAAGCATAATTATTGAATGTCTTTGTGAGACCAAGTTATTTCAATTTAGCGAGACACAGAACACTTATTTCTTTGGCTAGATGTTATCTTCTGGCTATGGATAGATGTCCATGCTGATTTTATTAGCTTTCTCAGCAGCTTTTAAAATAGTGAAAAATGGAGGGCTGTGAACTTCTCTGCAATATCTGGTGTGAAACAGATAAGCAACTCCAATTATTCCCTTCAAGCTGAATGCAGAAGACATGAAAAACACATCTCATTTCTCATTGAGATTTCCCTGTACTGAGATTTGCAGTGGTCCTCACTGTTCTCCTTGTTCAGTACAGATTCGAAGGCTGTGGGGAGCTTCTACAATGATTTTGTATGCTTCGGTATGCTTTAATTTCAGATTGTAGCCTGTGCGATAGCTCCCTAAATGTCCCCAAAGGTCTCAGAGCTTTGATTTGTTTTGTTGATGCATGACAGAGTTAGGATGAGGAAAGCACCAGCTATATGCAAGGAAAAACACTGTGAGAAATCAATGGGGTTATAATTGCCAGTCCTGTGTAGATGTTATCTCAACACTTTGTCTCAAGAGGTTCATCCTTACCTTTTCTGATTTCTGAGAAAGAAGCAAATCTTTCCCAAGTACTTCCAAGATGTATTCAATGTATGAATTCAGTGTATTAAACGTTCCTACTACTTTACAGTAGTACTATTACTGATACACTCAGTGCAAATCAAACCCTCTCTACTCATCTTTATTACATTCAAGGCTGAGAAAGGTATAAACAAGTGTGGGTTAAAATCTGAAAGCCCAGAACCTCGGATTAGATTTAAGTATGATTTTTTCTCTTTTATGGCATTAAGCCAGTAACATTTAAGAAAACCCAAATGATCTTCTATTCCCCCAAGGGAGACACTAAAACAGAAACTCAAAAAGTCAGTCTTGTGCTAAGATTTGATATGACAAGTTTAAGCCTCAAATTATTGTACTTTTAATGTCCAAATTGCAAGTCCTTGGGGAAAAAAAAAAGTAGTTTCTCAAGCAGTTGCTGAAAAATTTCTTACAGCAGTCACTGAGAGAAAAACAGCAAAAGGGCCTTTTCCCAGTGATTTGAGAACTATCTTTACAGTTACAGAAATTCACTGTGAAGGGGTGATATGCTTGACCATATCTTGCCATAATAGTTTCTAATATGTGGAACTTAACTTTTAGGCAACTGAGCATAAACTAGAGCAGCTTAGAAACTCCTCAAAATTACTTTGGGCCTAACTTTCTCTTTAATCAGGACACCAGGCAAAGCTATTAATCTCACATATCTTGAGTATAATTTCCTTTAGACGTATCCTGCTAAGTACAAAATAAATAATGATCACAACGTCCCTTGGTAGGAATAAATATTTGGATTAAATCAAGGTTAAGTGATTTAACTGATCAAGGTTACTACACCTGCAGAGTATGCTGAGGGAAAGCTAGACAAACAAGGAGAAAAACACAAGCTTCATTAAACACTGGATATTGAGAGTTTACTATTTTTTTTTCGTTCTCATAAAATAAATTTTATTGCCCAACCTCTGCTTCCTTCTGAGGGGTTTCCCTCAAACCTGTCTTTCTACTATTTCAGGCAGCAGAGCACATCCCAGGCACAGAGATCAACTGTTCTCACTAGGGAATGGGTTAAGTGAACAGAGTGCTAGCACGATAAATCAAAGGGAATCCATATTGCCAGCTAGAAAAACAGCTGCTTTATTTATTACCACTATTTATTACTAGATTTTTTATCATGGCCTCTACACAAAAAATGTGATTAATACACTTACTTGTAAATAATCACCTTTGGAGAATTCACATTTGTGGGATTCACTGGTTTCAACACAGGTTGAATAAAACAGAAAAGAAAACTGAGCTCCACTGGGCATTTCAGATGAGGTTTTCATAGTGGGAGATCTATTGTTTGTAGGAATTGCCTATGTTCAGTGCGATAGAAAGATCATGACTTGCCTGCACTCTCAGTGCAGACTCTCATAGGCAAGACAGGAATATTCAGTGACTACTGACGCACACCTACGTACACAAGCTTCCCTCACCTATGGTTGCTCGCTACCAATGGCGTGGTTAGGCAGGGGTCACTCAGCACACCAAGAGTTATTCCATGTTCATTTAAAACTCGTTCTGAAACCTGGACAGAGAATCCAGAGCCCTGGCACCTACAGGCTGGAAAATGTTATACCCGATAAATTAGATTGTTTAATTTATTGTTTAATTAATCAAAAAGATATTTGACATCAGACAAGGTGACTAGCATCACTCCATTCAGTTCAAATCAGACTGTAGCATGGCCATTTTTCTAAAGCACAGAGAGAATGCAGCCAGCTCACATCTCCCAGAAGTCTCCTCACCTACTGTGATACCTCCTCCTCACGCATCTCATTCTCAGGGGCTCCAGCTCCTTGACACATTTCCAGATATAGTGTTCTGTATACCAACTATCCTGATTCTGTCCCCTCCATGGTGTCTAATCCACATAATACAGTGCTGAAAATCATTATCATCACAACGAGGCAAAATATACACAAGCTGTGACATACAATAGCAGGATACACATTGAATGTGATTTTACTATTCATATGTGGCTAGAATACAAATTCTTTTTATGGGAGTGGGAAGAGGAAAGGAACAGACTCCTCACACCCACTCTGCATATTTCTGCTTTGCTTCTGATTTGGTGTAAATTAATGAATATTAAATTGGTTCCTGTCACTCACGAAAATTTTATTCAATAATGATAAAACCAGATGAAGTGAAAACTATTGTTTTCTGTTTGCTTACCTGGAACACTGTGGTGAGCAGATTCCTATTCAACTGGGTGACTTTTTGGTATGTTTTTATGCAGTTTTTTTGGTTTCGTTTTGTTTTTGGCAAACAAGTAGTCTTCAGTGTTTTTACAGCAGTGGCTATTACAGAAACTATGTCTCTTGCACTTCTTATCTTGGAGGGTGGACAAAATAAACAAACTGAAAATAATACTACAATGAACAGTAAATGATGAATGGTTTACAGTACAAAAAACAATGTAAAAAGGAAGACAAGTTTAAATATTGTTGTGTATGAAAGGGATGAAAATAATACAAGGATGAGAATAAGCAAAATGATAGGCTGGAACATCTGGGAAAGTAAATACAAAGACAAAGAGAAAGTCAATTAATGGAATAGCAAGTCCAAAGTTTCCACAAAACAGTGAATCAGACCACGCTTGTGGAGGGACCAAGTGCCCATTTCCCATTGACTTCAGTAGGAGTTCTGCATGGTCAAGCCCTGAAATGTCCAATTTAACTATTGCTGGTATTTGTTTAGAGAAAATGCTAATTAATTTGCTTTAAATTTGTATAAGCCCATGCAGTGCTCTGCCTTTAAGCTAATGGGAGCTCTACAAGCTCAGAGCTATTGCTACATCAGAAAGTGAGCATGCTAAATGCCGTTTCAGTTTGATTTCATGCAATACATGTATAGTAATTGATTAGCTTTAAACTCACTGCGTCTGTGACTTTCTGATACAAGGAAACAAAAGACTAATTAGTCAGCATAGGAATAAGAAATAATAGTTTTCAGCTTCACCTGGCAACTACTTTGACTGTAAACTAGCAGGACATCACAAAGTAAATTAACACAGCAAGAGACTTACTAAAACATTGGGTAATACCATGAGCAATAACAAGATTTGCTAACTATAGGATTGCATGGTAAGATAAGGGTAGGTAATTTTCATTTTGCATCCCAAAAGATCTTGAGTCAGCAAGGAATTTGCTCCTCAAAACCTCCCTTGAACAATTCTGCATAAAAATGAACTACAGAAAAGATGCTAGTGGCTGCTGCATGCAAGCAGTGACTCATAGGTCTTCAACAAGATACAATCGGTTATATCAGTTCCAATATTCACACTAGTGTGTGCCTCTGTGACTCTGTAAAGTAGATTTGCATGGTTGATTTTTCTCAGTGGTTTGTCATATTCTGTATAATTTTGGAAATTTAATGCTTCCTTCTGTTTAAAATTAATAAGATTTTCTTTTTATTCATTTAACAGGAACCCAATCACTAAGAAAACAATCATATTAATTTATGTGCCAAAAATGCTGTCTGCACTGCCTTTACTGGTGATGAAGGCACAACTTTGGCAAATGCAGTTGCAAAGCCAGAAAGGAGTAAAATCTTCCACCTCCTAGAGCATAATCCTTTTAACTTCCAGGAGACCAGACTTATTTGCTATTCACAAACAGCCTCATTGGTAGAACAAAGTTTCATATGGCCAAATGAGGATTTAAATTTCAGAAATAGCAATTTTTGTCCACTGTCTAGAATAAAGAATTTTCATGTGCCATACATTGAATTTGAGGCTTAATTCACTTGGCAGAGCCTTTTTACCTGTAGGCCGTAATAAGTAAAAGTCTACCTGACTCACTGACAAAGGTTCATCTGCACTTCGATCATCCGAAGATTTTGGAACTTCGAGTCTGTCGATAAAAGCCTGGAGCTCTTTCCTGAAGGCCTTCATCTGTGCGTTGATTCGGTAAAGAAGCTCATGCTCGCGTATTCTGCTGCCATCGTCTTCCTCGTCCATCAGCCCAAAGAGGTCCCCATTAGCTACATAAATTCTCGCCTCTGTTATGATGGTGCTTGTGTCAGAAATTAAGCGATCTATTGTCTTGCCTAGCCGCTCAGCTTCAGAGCGAATGTCCTTCATCTGCTGCCTGTCAGTGAAGCTTTTCTGCCATCCAGATGGCGTTGGATAAAAAGACCTCGTGGGTGTCAGGCACCGAATGTTGCGTACCTCTTCAGAGTCGCTTTCCCCACCGATGGGGCCTTCCCTTTTGCGGTGAGGGGGGCGGGAATCATCATCGCTCTCTTTTTTTCCTGCATCACTTTCTGCATCACTGTCTCTGGGACTGCCACGGATCCCAAGATGAGAGGCCAAGTCATAGCGTTGCATGTTGGACATTAAGACTCTGTTCTCATACTGGAGTTGCATGACCTTGCCACTCAGCTCATTGATCTGCATTCGCGCAGCTTTTAGCTCCTCCTGTAACGCTTCTGTCTTGGCATTGTCATGGTGCCTAGAGCTCTCATGGGCCCCAGACTTGTACTTGTATTTGTTCAGCTCAGCTGTTACACGCTTGTTTTGTTCTTCCAAATCAGCTAAATTTCTTCTTAGCAATTCTGTTTCATCTTCTACTAGCTGCAAATGCTGTCGTAATTCTGACAGGGATTCACTCTGCTCTCCCAGGAGCGGGTTAGCGGTCCCTGAGAAATCATCTCCTCTTAAATCATCAAGCTCTGCTTTCAGTCCTCTATTTTCTACTTCCAGTTCCACTATTTTTCGCCCAAGAATGTTGGCTTCCTCCTCCACAAGTCTCAATCGAAGTTTGAGTTCAGCTTCTCTTGTGGTAGGTGGCCCACCTGCTTCACCTTTTGGCAAGGGACTGTCCAAATCCCCATAAAATGATCTATATTTTTGCAGCTCATGTTCAAATCTGTCTTTCTCTTTATCAATCTTAGCCATTTTCTTCCTCATCAAAGCTGCTTCTTCTTTGACAAACTGTAGCTGGCACTTCAAGTCTTCATTGTCCTCCTTAGAAAAAAGAAGAAGTAGTATTTGAAGAAACTTGATGTAAAGCAGGAGACCTCCAGTGGATGATTTTAAATTACAAGATTAACAATCACAGGTACATAGCTTCAGATACTAAGACATTTTTCCTGCAATCATTTTTTCACTGATAATAAATTCAAGAAAAGGAAATAAATACTCAAATTTGAAAGTGGGGAAAAGACTATTGTACTTGTGACTAAAGTTTGCACAGTCCCCAGAAAATACATTGGGGGGGTGGGGGGCTTGTAAAAAATCCTCGTATTTTCTATGCTTGCAACACTGTAATCGACTTTACAGTGTTCAAAAAACCTGAAGTCAGCACACAAAGGGCCTGTAATTTTGTTTCACTGGTGCTCCCATTTACTTATTTTGCCTAAAATACAGAGTACACGAAAGGTTGTGGGTTCTACTGCAGCACCAGAGGTTTGTTTAGGTGGTCCTTGACACAGTGTTTTCTGACCGCAGATCTGGGGTAAGAACTCTCCATTTCACAGCGTACAGGAAAACAAAGAGCAAAGCAAACAAGCAAGCAAAGTGCAAATCTACAAATCAGGTACATCATTTCCACAGTGTCCCTGAAGCCTCCACATGAGAATCCAGGCTACTGTTACCATAACATACCTCTGTTGGTGTCTGCTGTGACTTTTTTTCTGATTTTGGTAGGTCTTTGCTCCCTCTTCTTTTCAGTGATTGCTGCAACAACAACAAAATGAGGTGCACTGAATATTTCACTGAAGAGGTGTATCATTTAGTCACTCTTTTAGAACATAGCAAGTCAAATGCAACTATAAAGGAATTAATTTCTTGTGATCCTTGACTACACACAGAGGGGAGACAAAGCTTCCCAAAAATGACACAGCAACGTTATACAAGTAAAGTACTGGGTTAAGCAGTCTGTTACCTTTTTTTTTTATTCAACACATTTTAAGAAGAGTGCATAACGAATGTTTAACACCTGACAGGAGAGGTAAGAAAGCAGGTATCCCAAGTGGTAACTTACAGATGGGAAAGCTGAGGCAAGCAGTGAAACCCAGCTTGCCCATTTGATATTAAGCCTAATGGGGCCAAGGCACTTAAAGATGCATCTAGCCAGACATGTAGCCTTAGCACTCTGGTAGGCAAGCTACATGAAACAGTGTCACTGAGGTCCTGCCAGCTGACTTGAGTGTACATCTACAAGCACACCTTTCTCTGTGTCCCACCCACAGGCTTCAAGCTTGCAGTGTATTGCGGTCACACGTCTGTAGGTGTATGCTGTAGACAAACTCTGTGCAAACTCACACATAGATCTGGTTGCTAGGTTTTCAGAACACATTCAAATAAATACAATTTAAAACTGCTTTGACTACAAAGTCCTAAAGAGAAACAAAGCATATTAGCTTAACAACAGCACCACACAAACACATGCATGCACCACCATATGAGTAAGCTTCTCTGATGTCTTCTCATCTGCTATGTAGCCAAAGTGTGTAGAAAAAACCCTGCTTTTAGAGCAGGATGCACTGGGATTGAAGCCTACTAGTGTATCCAGCAAAAATCTCGTAATTGCTGACAGTAGAAAGTTCAATAGTGGGCAAGCGGTAGCAGTGGAAAAAAACTGCAACCATCCCTCTGTCAACACTCAACACAGACCATCAGGAAAATGGCAGGAAAGCGAGTGAGAGAATACGTTAATATATAACATCCCACTTGCAGCTGTTCCGAGTTTTTATGTTCCCCAGGTAAAATGTAGGCCCTGAGGCAGGGCAGTGACACAACCAACACCATCTCCCTCTGAGACGGTTCTCTGATACAAGGATCCTTTGTGCTGTTGAGAAACACGCATTTCCCTGCACTAGCCATCCAATTCCATACAGTGGGAATTAAAATACGTTCATAATCCTCAAGGAACAGAGTACAGTGGACGAGTACGCTGTACATAACAGTCCTGTGTACTATTTTCCTGCTGGTACCAATGGTTCTGTTTCTTCTGCAGAACATCCACATAACAAATGCTAAGCTTGTGGACTGCTCACTCCAAAGGAAAAGTCAACACCATAGATATAACTCACATATAAATCTGAGCAACCACAAGAGATGATTTCTCATTAGATGATTGCTCAAATTCACTACAGATTTATGCAAGAATTGAGAAAAACGGCCTCAGATTCAGAATCAGAACTAAAATTCACAGATGGGTCCACCAAGAACAGGAATTAAAATGTTTCTGTCTCTTGCAGAAGCATTGAATGCTCTCAGTAGACAAAACAATAAAACTAATCAAAGATCATTAGCTGTGTTAGCTAGAGAGCTGGATAGCTGTGAATCACAAGTTTCTAAAGCAATCCAGAAAAGACACACAAAATAGTTAAATTAACTCACTTTTTCCCTTTAAATATAAAGCAAACAACTTTGAGATGCAGTCTACAAACAAAATGATTCTTCTCCAGGGTCACCCATCAGATATCCTATTGTAGAAACGATATACACATGTGGAGGGTTTTTTTTGTTGTTTTTCTTTTTGAATTGGCAAATTTAAACTTTCAGAGGAGCACCTTCCTCCTCTGTATTCCTATTAATTCAACCACTATGTATTATCACTTTGAAAAAACCCTCTCCAAATCAGTTAGCTCTGCAAACTTCTCCTTGCTCCGGATTCTTGCCAATACCACCCACTAAAAAAATAATTAAGGGATAGTTAAACTATATTTCTGCTTGACTACCTAAATGCCTTCTATTCACCCCACCAAGCTCAGCATCTCTCCAGATATGAGTTTCTGAAATGCTGAGCTGTAACTTCTTGTGTGCCCTACAACTCTGCAGAAGATAAGAGATATATGAAAAATTTTCCCATGACAAAAAAAAAAAAAGAGAAAGTACACAGAGCAAAAAGTGTTTTTCTAGGTTTGACATAAAATGAAAAATCTGGTTTCCTCCTTTCTCTCTATATCTTTAGTGTTCCTTTTAGTAGTCAAGATAGCAACATTTTAATTACAACAGTTGTGGTGTGTAATGACTAGGCACTACTTTCTATTCTGCTCTACTTGAATTACAACAAACCATCCACTGAGCTTGTATTACCAATGAAATGATGGTGTTTAGCAACAAAA